AGTCTGAGTACAGTGTACAGTGTAAAGCAAAGGCTAAGTCGGCTAAGTCGGTTGAGGGATGTTAATCTGCTAATCAGTGTGTTTGCTGCATATGAGGAGATCTTGGATGGCCAAAAGGAGGTGCCTCCAGCGTCTATTCGTGAGCTTATGATGCAGCCTGACCATCCACAATATGAGAAGAACCTGGAGATTCTTGCAAAGCAAGGGGCGAAGAAGGCCTGGCAAGCTGGGATTGGGTGGGCATGTCAAGGGTCACAATTTCTGTCACATTTCCTGCTGATTCACATTTCCCGTCACATTTTTCGAACCATGGATTTTCCAGTGCTTTCAGGGCCACATTTTCGGAGCTTTTTTTTCACATTTGATTCACATTTGATTCACATTTTTTTCACATTTTTTTCACATTTTTTTCACATTTTTTTTGCATTTTCCCTAGGGAGTGACCACTTTTCGGCCCAGGCCAGGGCGGGCTGGCATGGGGGGTCTGGGGGCGGTGAACGGGGGGGGCCGGGCACTCCCCGCACCAGCCCAGGGGCCCAGGCCTGGGGCCCCGGCCAGGGCCAAGGCAACGTGAGGATTGGGGCCGGGCCGGGCGTGGGGTCTGTATTCTGGAGCTGTGGCCTGGGGTGGTTGGGGCGCCTTGCTTTGAGATGTTGAGGGAGGGGGCACAGGTTATGGGTGCGGGCCCGGGGCTTTGGGGCCCAAACTTTGGGGTGCACAGGTTGCTTACTGACTGATAAGTGGTTGGGGACTTTCCGGGCACAAAAGGTTGCTTATGCTGATGGGTGGTTTAGGCTTCAGGGTTGCAGAACAGCTCCATACAGAGTTTGATTTGGGTCCCTTTGGGGCCTGCATTGTCTTGAGGAAGCTTAGCGGCTTAGCTGCGTTGCATTGTTTGTTCAGTCTTGCAGCTTGAGTTCTTGGAAGCGTACAAGCAAGGCCAGGCAGACTGTGACTATCAGATCATGGATGATCATAGTTGTTCATGTTGTGCTGCATGTTTCCCTTGGGCCTTGGGCTGATTTGCTTCGGCATGCGTTGTCAGAGTCTGTCGGGGTTTGCCAGAAGTCAATGTAGGAATGTAGGCTGTGCAGGTCAGTGCTTTGTTGAACAGATGTGCATGCCCAAGAGTCCAAGTCCAAGAGCCAAAAATCAATAATTTAGAAGCTGCCCGCACCCTGTAATAGTGCCATAAGGATTATATTAATATTATACATATATATATATATATATATATATATATTAGGGCCCTATTGTATTCCTATTATACCACTATTACAGGGTGGGGGCAGCTTCTAATCAATAATCTATCAATATAAACAACAATCATTAATCATTAATCCCATTCACCAAAATTTCCTGGCCCTATTGAACTATTGATAATGATTACTTATAATGTCCAATACTTTCTCCAAATAGTATTATGTTAGTATGTTAAATCTTCTTATTGCCATTGTAATGTACCGCATTGGCGCCGCATTGGCACTAGTCGCTGTTCACTATTCAACACGGTCACCAAAGCCTTTAGCAGTCACTCGGGTAATTGGGCAATTGGGGGACTTCATAGTTCCAAGCAGATTCTTCTGTGCAGGATGCCCGCACTCGTGGCGACAGCGGGGGCTTCCCTGCCTGGAAGGCACAGGCGGTTCGGTGGAGCGAAGCCATTGGAGTTGATGTTGCTAAGCACCGTGTTTGGACAAGTCGGCGAGACTTTGTGGGACGGGGTGTTCCACAGAATGAGCGGGTGCAAACCATGCTTGATCTGGTGTGTCTCCAGAAGTGGTCTGAGCATCCAAACCGTGGGTACCTTCGTGATGTTGTTTGGCCTGACCTCATGTGCAATGTGTTCCTGGACTGGAGCCAAAATCCAGCTCGCAGGGCTTATTCAGGAAAGAATGGAGAGATGCGCTGTTTGACTACATCCTCCCAACTCTACTCCTTTGAAGCCGACCGGGCACTCTTTCCGATTGAGTACATGAGGCTCCAGGGATGGGGCTTTGACATTGCTATCCCTGAGCAGTGTGCAGGGAAGATGCGAGAGCTGTCAGGGCAAGGCATGTCGCTGCCGTGCCTCGGAGTTGTGATTTGGGCAGTGTATCTGCTGAAGGGCCTCCCGTCTTGTGCCGTTCATGCTGATGATGATGGTGATTGGGAGCTTGATTTGCGCTGACAGACCTCTTGCTTTTCTGAGCAACTTTCAATACTTCCTCCTAGGTCCTAAGTCCTAGGTCCTAGGTCCTAGGTGTAGGTCTAGGTCCTAGGTGCCAGGTCCTCACTGTCGCAACCCAACCCAACAAACCGAACCGTACCTACCGGACCTAACGACCTAACCTAAAGACCTAAACTATGCCCTATAACTATAACTTAACTAATAAACTAAATTTACCTGAAGTATAAATTAATTGAGTGATTGACTGTTATTAACAGTAACAAACAACTACCTAAAGCCGCCAAGACACTGGATTGACTAGACACTAGTTCATGGGTACTAGGATTACTAGGATAGTAGGACTGCTAGGACTAGGAGTCTAGCGGTCTAGCGTCCTAGATTTGCAAGTAACTAGACTGGCCTGACAAAGCTTGACTAAGCGATTCAGTCATTTGTTGATCGTTGATTCCTTGGGGTGTGTCAGTCAGCTCAGATTTGTCAAGATGGTCTTGGCCGTAGCCTGTCAGGCTTTGTTTGTGGACATGCCAGGCAGCATCCACTGGATTGGTTTCCAGGGATGATGATCCTGTGGCCCACGGGTTGGTTGTGATATGTTTGTAGTCATTGTAATTGTAGTCATAGGTTTAGTATGTTTAAGTTTAATGGGAATACACCTACCTGTGCCCTGTGTGACAGGTGACCCTAGTGCCCTAATGATTCCTAATGGCCCTAGTGCCCTAGTGACTGCCCTTTGCGACTCTATCTAGATTCTAGACTCTACTAGCCTCTAGTGGCTAGTGATGTGCTGCTTCAGTAGCCGGGCCCCCCACTAGAAAAAAACCATGTAAACCTTCCATTCAGCAGGGGCAATGTGTAGGGCCAGTGGCGGCCAGTGTAGGACAGTGTAGGAGCGTAGGATTTGTGGGAATGTAGCAGTTCAGTAGAGCAAAGAGCAGCTAATGATGCAGCTAATGAGCTAATGAGCCCATGAATGTAGAAACAGTGTAGTGTAGCTGTGGAGCTTGTGTTCGCAGCATTGTTGCTGGCACCAGCGATGTTACCGTGTTAGCCTTTGCAGGTACTATCATCATATTGCTACTCAGCTGAGCAGCTGACAGCTGTCAGCTGGCAGTAGAATTTTGCACAACATCAGGTCCACAGGTGTGTTGCTGTGCTGTCCACAGATTCTGCCTTCACGCTTGGGAACATATCCTTCACTGCCTACAGGCCGCAGTGGGGATCATGTTCCAATGCTGCTGTCATTGCTGATTACAGTGATTACTGATTACAGTCACATCTTTAATCCCTAAGCCTAAGCCCTACGGTTGATGATATAAATCCTGCATTACCTTAGGGAGCCTAAACTATGGGAATTATGGTATATTCCTTATTATGGGTGATGCAGGATTTATATCATCAACCGTATGCCCTAAACCCTAAGCCCTAAACTTTTGCAAGGTCGGGAAGGACACGAGTCGGCATAGCTTGATCACCTACAATCGAACTAACACCTCAATCTGCCGAAAGTCCTTTCCGACTGTAGCAGGAAGGGCCCTTAAAAACTTTTGAAGCCGGCCCTCGCCTAGACTCTAGACCTAGCCGCACCTAGCCCACAGGTCTGAACCTACCCCTACCCGGTACTACCCCTTAAGCTTGAAACCTTAAGCTTAACCTGAAGCCTTAAGCCCTGAGCCTAACTGTCCTAACCCATACTGCCATACTGCTAATCATTGCTAATCGAGAGCCTCAATCCTTTGATTGGAGCAAAGTACCAAGTAGTAGTTCAAGAACAACAGCAGCAACAACAAGAACAACACCGTCGTGGCTTTCTTTGAGCAGGTATGTCTGCCTATGTGACCGACATAATGTATACTGCGTATGAGTGTATGGCTGCCCCAGTCCCGAGGTCCCCAGGCGCTCAGGGCTCTAGCCGCCCTGCCCTAGGTAGGTCTTAGGTAACCATTATCATTAACAGAGTGAGTGTCAAGCATACGCCAGGTACAGAGTTAAGTAGAATCTAAGTAGACTGGACAATGTATCAGCTGCAGCTGAAATCTTGGTCAAGCGAATCATGTGGGAACGCTGTTTTTTTGTGGCCGACTGCTCTTGGGCTGGGAGGGGATGGCCGAATTTGAATAGCTGAGTATCAATACTTCAATACTAAATTTACTGTATTGGTGACTTCATTCAATCTATTTAATCGATTGGCATCAGCTTCAAAGACTCACATCAGTTCAAAGTCAAGTCTTCACTAGCGGCACTAGCGGTCACTAGAGGACTAGCGGTCGGTAGTGGTCACTAGCGGTGTCCAGCTTATCTGTTGTCACTGGCCATGCCCTTCTTGTTTCAGGAGACAGTGAATGTCACTGACTCATCTGTGTGATTCCGTGTGTGTGTGTGTGTGCATGCACACACTGGGGCACAGCTGATTCTGGTTGCCCGTGTCGGCAGGGATGCTGAGACAGACTGCTACTGAGTTTGTGGAATCTGATAACTCTTGTGATTCACTTTTTATGATTCTAGTAAGTCAGTAAGTCCTAGTATCTAGTAGCTGCACCTAGTATCTTGTTCGGTCAATGTGGTGAATGTAATGTATGAATGTATGGTCATGTTGTTTTCTTCTCAATCTTTATTCATGATTCAATTCCTAGGTCCTGGTTGCTCAGCTACTCTAATTTACAGCGTTTGAGCACAGCTGTAATCCCGTCTGCCGTCTGCCGGCCAGGTGCCTCCAGCCGTAGAAATAGTACAGAGAAATCATGTTTCAGGTGCTTCTCTGAGTACCAGTATGACGTATGACGATCAATGCTGCTAGATTTGATCTGCTTGATAGCCCGGAGTGCCCCCCACCTTCCAGTAGGCCTGTGGCTTACTGTGGGGGGTTTGCCGAAAAAAACACTTGGCCACAGAAACTCTCGAATCCTGTGGACTGTGGGAAAAATGTGTGGCTTCATGGGCGCTGAGCTGCTCTGAAGTTTCTGAAGTATGTGTAATGAACTGCTCATGTTTGCGACCGCGACAAGCATTCGATTCTATCAGATTCTATCAGAATCAGTGTTTTGTGAGATTTGTCTGATTTTTGCCGACCGGACGTAGCCGCTTTCGATCAGCCGGCCCCACAGGCTTGACATTGCCTTGTGACCCATCTTGCTTGCAGCAATGATGTCCAGGGAGGACGGGTCGGGTGTGGCAGGCATCATCTCAAGTTCCAGCAAAGCCCTGTCTGTTCAGGAGCCCAAGAGCAAGAGGCCTCGCGTGGTGAGTGTGGCCTCGTTGCAGTGCTTGATCTGCAAGAAGAACCCCAAGGCACTTTTCAGTCGTCGAAATGTCCTGGGTCCTGGGTTTTATGTTGGTTGAGGAAACTTTTCTTAGTGACTCTAGTAATCTAGTAACTGGTAACTAGTAAGTAATCTAGTTCGAATCAATAAATCATAACTAACTGACTAACGAATCAGCCTAATCAGTGACTAATCAGCATGTAAAGCAGCCCTAGCCCTAGCTGCTCCCTGGCCCTAGCTATAGCTAAAGTGTTAAGGGATTCAAGAGAAGCCTGATGTGCGCAGGAGGTCGAGTGGGCATCCTTCAACTCCAAGAGCCAACCGACGGGTTTGTGGTGTGGAGTGCATTTGAAGGTGGTGATACAGCTCTACCCCGACCAACCGCCGGAGGTTGTTGCCGTCCTTTATCATGAAGACTCGGAGGCTGGACGTACTTGCAAACGAGTGATTGATGAGGCAGCCCAAAACCTGAAGGACGGGGTTGAGTTCAGCCTGCCTGCAACTGTGAGCTCCATGGCGAGCCAGGGAGTCCGCTTGGTGTTTGAAATGGCCTTCTGCTCAGAAGGGGATGTTGTCCGCCTTGCGGGGCACTCCAGCAAATTCCTCAAGCTGCAAGAAGTCCTGCTGCAGCCCGAGCAGCGTGGGCACCCAGTGCTTGCAGGCTTTTTGTTGAGCCTCCGGGGGTTGCCGCTGGACGAGGTGTTGAGCCTCAGGCGTGTCCAGGTCTATCGCGACACGGCTCTGGTTTTGCGCGAGGATAACTTGCATCCTGAAGGTATGGTACACGAGTCCCAGCCGTCAGTGCTGTTGACGTTCCTTTCCCGCAAGCAGACCGAGAGCTACCCCAAAGAGTTTGTGGGCCACTCGACCCGCACGGTGCCTCCTACCCTCCAGCAGCTGATCCAGCGGGGTGCTGACTTCAAGCAGCAGGCCTTTTTACATGACAGTCTAGCAGTCTCGCAGCTTAGGCTTAGCATTCTCGAATCAGCTCCTTGCTTGGTTCTCTTAAGGTCCTGAGGACCGTGTGAATGAATAGTTAATAGTTGAGATGTGTGTTATGGTTACAGTTACTGGTACTATGATTGTGTTCATAGATATCATGGTGAAGTTATGGTTCAGGTCACGGGGATTGCGGGAATGAAAATTTGTGGCTCTAGCGGACTCTAGACTGTAGCCGATATGATCATGATTATCCTCGTCCGCAAGCCCTAAACCCTAAGGCCCAAACAGGATAGGGGCAAAGTTTCTATATGTTTCGATCCCCCACATATCTTTTGGGGAATACAAATCTGCAAGGAGACCAGAGAAACGATTATGTGATTATGGCCGACAGTGGCTTATAGTTATGATGTTTATTGTACTGGTCTGCTTGGCTGCTTGTGAATTCTTGCCAGTGACTAGGGACTAGTGACTAGTGGCTGCTATAGCTAGTGACCAGTGTTGACAATTAGGTCCCGAGGTACCAAGAGAGATGGGAAGCGCGGTTCGGTGAATCGGGATGCCATAGTTACCCCATTTTACAGTCATTGTAGATATGGTCCTAGATTCGTAGCTGTTCCATACTGTTAGATGACCATGTCTGATGAGTTCTGCATTCTGCAACAATGACTCGACGAAACAGGGTAGCAAGTTGGTCTGGTTGCCGGTTGCCGGTTCAAGCCAGTTTGCATTCTAGTAACTAGTATTATGTGTCTAATAATTAGTATTAACCACCCAGAATCTAGCAATCTAGGAATCTACTTGGGGTTCTACGTTTACTGCTGCCAGTGGTTCCCACCAGTCACCAGTCTGGCAGTCACTGGTCCGGTAGTCAGTCGAGTAGTCCGGCACCCGGTAGTCACCGGTAGTCACCCAGTAGTCACGTTAGCCGTTAGCCACTAGTCATTAGTCACGAGGTTATAGTAGTCTTAGTCGTCAGGGTAGTCACAAGTCACTAGTTAACTGGTTATAGTCAGTGGATGCTTGTTGCTGAGTTACTGCTGCTAGTTGGCTGCTAGTTAATGCTAGCTGCGAGTTTCCAGTTACTTATTTTGCACTGCTTCCGTGACTATCCTGGACACTGACTGATCAGATCCTTGTGCAGTTTTTTCATAAACCCTTTTTGAGTGACTGCCTGCCTTTTGACAGGCAGCAGCTGTTGCTGTCGAAAGCGAGGAGGAGGAGCTCGAGGAAGAGCTTGCAGAGGAGGATCTGCAAGATGTCATTGCACAGACAAGGCCCACCCGTGGTGTTGGGCCTGGCCGCATAGCAGTCAGCTCAGCCCTTTCCCAGGTGGAGTTGAAAAGGGCACCCAAGCGCAAGGCCAAAGCCGCGGCCAAGGCGACTGCAGCCCCCCCCCCAACCACACGCGAGCCGACTGAGCCTGTGAGAAGGGAGACGTCTCCTGCAAGATCTCTTGGTGGAAGGTCCAGGCTGTCTCAGGGCTCCAGGAACTCAGGAGTGTCAGGCCTTTCCAAGGTGAAGGACCCGAGTGTGAAAGGTGTTTTTAACATACTTTATGATATGCGATTGGTCATTGACTTGTTGCTCGGCTGGTAGGCCCTGGTAGGTAGGCTATTTCAGTGACTTCTGGACTGAGTGAGTAGTGACTAGTGACTAGTGAGTAGTGAGTTGAGTAGTGAGTGTACCAAGTTCATGGAACAGATTCAGTGGCCAACACGCCATGAAGTCATTTTGCATCGAGTGTTCTAGTACCCCTGTACTGCCATTCCTCTCTGAAGATCTTTTATGCTGGCTGGTGTCATTCGGGTTGAAGGTTCCTGCTTCAAATTTGAGCCCTCTCTCCAGGACCGTGCGGAGGTTGAAGGTGAGAGCCAGCTTGACAGCGAAATGCAACGGGTGCAAGCAAAGCTGGGTCAGCCCCAGCAGGTTTGCTTGCTTGGCTTGGACGTGGCAAGACATCTTCGTGGAGAAAAACTGGGCGTCCGAGTTGCTGCTGTACCGGCCTCGGAAATTGCTGTGACACCTCTGAGTCTGATTGTCAGTGTCCGTAACGCAGTAACTGAGTAACTCAGTCACTGAATTAACTACAGTAACTAGATCTTTTCATCATTGGCCCTGCTTCAGTGACAATGATGAAGGCAGTAGCTCGCAAGCAGTACTACTCAGTCGTCATTAGTCATTAGGTGTCCAGGTGCACATAAGTTCCAATTCCAATGCAGTTCCCAGGCAAAAAAGCTCTTGGAGCGCCTCACCGGAGGAGCAAAGCTGCTGCTCGAGAACAGAATTTCCTTGTGCGAGAAAGCGGCAAGCCTTGCGCAAGGTGGTGCTTCCCTTTCAGAGACGGCCCTGCAGCAAGCCGTCACCCTGGTCACGCGGGCCAACTTCGAATTGCCAGTTCAGGTTCGCATGGTGTTGGCCGAACGCCATGCTGCCCACCTGTGGCTGCAGATCAAAGATGTGGCTGAGAAGGCCAGATCCAAGGATGACGCTTTGAGGAAGTTGTCCCAGCTGGAGGCCGTGCAGGTCCTGGTTACGATGCTGGTCCCGGTGAAAGCCAATGTTCAGGGGACCGATGATGTTCTTCGACCTACGTATGCCAATTTGATTTCCGCCATCACGGACAAGCAGGCGCAGGAGCTCGGGGAATGCGAACTTGTTGAGGAGATTGCCATGATGGAGCAGCACAACGAAATTTGGCAGGCAGGATTCTTGTTTCTGTGTCTTTAAGCTCTAAACTAAACTCCAAACCTATGTGATGGAATGCATGTAGGAATCGAGGCCATGGTATGACTGATATGATTAGCGAATTAGCGCAAACCAGATAGGAATGGAGTCGATTGAATAGATATTGATCGTGTTGGAGGATACTCTCCTTTGTAGATTGTAGCTGCTGCTACCCTAATTTCTTAACGCATGCTGTGTGTGCTGGGCTGATGGCAACGTAACAAAACAATGAAGTCAGCCTCATCTGTGGAAGATTGTAGACATTGTAGATTGCAGATTGTTGGATGTTTTATATGTTTGGTTCTAGTGATTCTAGTGTTCTGGTGATTCTAGCGAGCCTGGTTTGTTCTTCCTTCCGCAGGCAAGAGGCCCAGGAAGACATGTTGCTTTGGAAGCTCTGTGATGGCTGTATTGTACTGAGTGCTCTGCTGTGCTGAGTTACTTTACTGAGTACTGTACTGTACTGTACTGTGGTGATTTGCCAAGTATGGTCTGAAGCTATGGGTTTTTGTGTTTGGTCGTAATGGTTTGGGGCACTCTTGGGCTTTTGGATTCTGGAGTCTGGAGAGTTGCGGCGGCTTGCAGCGTGAACCCTCAGCCTTTAAGTTCTAAAGGTCCCGTCCTAGGTCCTAGGTCCTAGGTCTAGGTCCAGAAATCACCCGAGCCGAGAGCCCTTGTCATAGCCGATCTGCTGCCAGCTGATTTTCTCAAAGTTTGAAGTTGGCTTCAGTTTACTGGGTTTGCTAAGTTTACTAGTTACTGGTTACTAGTTACTGATTATTGTGTTGCTGGATTCCTCTTGATTACGGTTGTTCAGTCGTTGAACAAGTGCCGATTGCCGGAACCTTTTTCGTGATGTCAGGCCGTGGGAGACAGCCTGTGCAGCGCATTCTACACAGATGGGCTATGCGACCTTTTGGCTGCTGGCGAGGCCACCTGCCACGTGATCAAGTTCATCTGCTCTACGTTGCTTGAGGAGATTGTGGCTTTGCAGGACCCGGACAAGAGCTGGATCCCGACAGGTGTGCAGACAGGGCTGGAGCGCATCCGCCATGTTTCAGCTGCCTTTGTGACCCTGCTTGATCCTGCAGAAAGCTCCAAGAATGCTGGCATGGACGATCTGCAGTTTCTCAAGAACGAGACCAGCAGCCACAACATCATTGTCACCTCCAAGTCCCTGCTTTTCGGAGGCAATGGGTTTTACAGTGGGCTGGCAGAAGAGATGGAGAAGAAGGCAGGCTCTTCCCGCGCGATCAAGGGTGAGTACGAGGAGATGCTGGCAATGGTCAGGGAGGCGAGGGAGGGCAAGGAGGCGATGGACATCACCCTCATGAAGAAAGCCCTGATGCGGTTGCCAGTGTATGTGGAGAAGATGAGAGACGGTGCTACTCGTGAGCTTTCGAGTCTGCTGCTGTCTGAGCTCCGGGATGCGACATCCACAATCCTGGCGACGGAGAACGTCCCCGAGGCCGAGAGGAAGTCGGTCAGCCTTGAGATGGTGAGTGTCGTCATCAAGGGCTTGGAGTTGTATCCGATGGATCAGGAAGCGGTCGAGCTTCTTCACCGGCTGGAGAAGTTCAAGGAGTCTGCCGGCACAACTTTGGGTGTGCAAGGCTTTGTGGAGGCAGTGCTTCGTTGCGTGCCTTTGGATGCCTCCCCGGACAATCTGCGCAGCCTGCCGTTGAAGGATGTGGCGATTGCTCTCGAGAACATCGGTGGTCTGCCGGACGAGCTGACTGCAGATGCCCCGTGATAGTGATGATTATCTGATGGTTCATAAAATCATAAACGAGTCAGCTATTCAACTACACTACGGTATCAGTCATTATCACTACTCTTTACCCAACTATTCTAATCTAGTGAATCTAGTGACTACTCTGGTGACTCGAGTGGCTCTGGTACTCCAGTTGCTATTCCACCATTAACTATTAGTGACTATTCCTTCTTTGGTTTGCTATTTCAGTTTCCTGGTACCGGGTACCGTGGGTACTGGTCTCGCTCTGGTCAGAGGCCCTAGGCCTTGCATTTAATGAATTTAATGATCACTGTATTTCTGTTTCTGTTTGTCAGAGACTATAGACTTGGTTGAAATGTTTTAATGGCTAATGAATTTTTATCGCTGCTGCTACTGCTGCTGCTTGGAACCCAATCAAGGTCATGTGGGGCTTTGGTGCCAATGATATGAAAACAACGGGCTCATGTCTTATAGTATTGGGCCTAAAGCCTGGCCAAACGACAGCTGTCGGACTCTATCCGCTATCAGAGGTTGGAACATTCTTTAGATTAGAGTCATTAGAGCTGAACAACTGCCATGGGCCATGGCATTCATCTTCCGAATCAGCAATGAGCCA